TACCTTCGAAAGATTATTAATATAACTGAATGACTAAAAAATGTATAATATATTTTGCACTTAAATGTTATATTTATTATTACATAAAACATCTTGAAAACTGGCAAGTAGTTTCCGAATTTCTACATCTTACGGTCTTAGGCAATTTGAGCACTCTCAGACATTGTAACTATGATTGTATAATCTCCCATTCAAAGTCCTGCCGTAGGTCCTAATAAGGACATAGTAAGCCTTGGACCGCAGAGGAGAATGAAACTCAGGTGGTACTGTGCCTTTAAGAAGTAGGGACATCTTCATTTTGAATATTTTAAGTAGGATTTTAAGTGGGGTTTGGACTGAAAAAAAATACGATACAATATTGTGATGAAAGCATATGATGTTCCAATTGGGAAGAAGTCTAAGACATTTTTTATTATAGAAGCTAGTGTGAAGTTTGAGTGTTAACCATTTAAAACTCTGTAAGTAACTGCATTTTCCACCTGCTTTAACATGCAAAAACTCCACATTCTTGTCTACAAATTGTAGTTAATGGGTTTGTATGATTTTCGCAATAAATATTTACATTCGGCATCTTCAGGGGTCTTTTACCGTGGGTACAGAGCCCGGCCTTGAAACTGACTTATTTCCAACTAGGGGCTTGGTCTAGAAACCTTTTGTGCCATGCCTTTGCGACGTGGTGCAGGTCTGAGGGTTGATTTAATATCACTTGATTTTTAATGCGAAATTGTAACGTGCACCCTCACAAGTGCAATTAATTCTTCGCAGGTTTCATAATGAGAATGAAATTGATATAAAACTTCTCGGAGAACGTGCATCTACCATCAGGACTTATGATGATGGACACGTTTTTATCCACACGGCTGATCGCCCTAGAAGACTTTCTTGCAATTCCTTTCCTTAGAGATGTTCGCAGAAGGCCATTCACTGCACGGAACGATTATTACGAAACTAAGTTGTTGCGGTTTATCGGTGTTTTTCTCAAATAACTCCCACAAAGAACTTTAAATTTATGATAACTCTCTTAGGGTGGTATCTGGTTCGAAACTTGGCTAAGTTACTGCATATCTTACAGAGGTCTTTAGTAGATTATCGCAGTCTTCCCAGTTTGTATTTATTCTTAAACCAAGTCTTTACACACACTCACAGTAGGCTATACTCATGATCGTTTTGTCATTCGTTCGAAACTGCAGTCGATCTGGAGTTGCGATGGTAATTATTAAATACACTGAAAAGTTAATCACTAACCGTACAAAGTCGATAGTTGTAATTTAATTCATCTCGTAAGACTTTAGCAAAATGGTACATCTGTATCTTTCCCTTTTAAAATAATGTCAAGTTACACTACAGATAATAGTTTTGTTTAAATGCAAGCAACTTTCAAACTTCAAGTAAATAATCCCCAAATATTATGCTGCTTAATTTCTCATAGTGACCATTTTTCACGTGTTTCATTTGCACTTACCATCATAGAGTTGTTAAAAATCTTCTTAACAGTTAACCAGAGAACACAAATATTTCAGGCAAGAAGAGGGAACAATTTAGATTAAGAAATGCGTGAAGGCCCAAAAAATTTTGAAAACTGATGGAAAACAAAGTTTTCTGAGCATAGCGAACAGACATGTTTAAATTCTGCCAGTAGTTTTGCCGACTGGTTGGTATTGCAACTTACCTGAATCTGTAAGTCTTCGTGAGAACCAGGAGTTGTCTCTGGCGATCACTGCCGTGCGTCTGTAGAGGGAACGACGCTGGTTCCTGTCTATTTAAACAGGACGTCGCGGCGCGCAGAGTCGACCCACGTGTTATCTAGCGGCGCACCGTGTGATGTCATAGACACGTCATGGCAAGGACCAACCAGAGCCCCGTTCCGAACAATTCAAGAAATATTCATTCAACCGAAAGCGTGGGTAGCATACTTCTGACAAAATGTTACTTAATTAGATTACAAGGCCTTAATAATACCTTACCAGTTAATGGCGTTATTCAGAACAAAGTGCATAGAGAGTGCAAGGACATAAAAACTCAACAGGAGGATGTAAAATTATGTAATGAGGAGCTTATAATTCGTACTCTTCAGCAGATATTAGTGTAGAAAAACTACCAAGTCAACGACGTTGAGATAGGCTGTGCATGTAGTACGTGTAGAAGTGACGAGAAAATTTCTGTTGGAAATCGTGACGCGAATGGAGCACGTGTTTAGGCAAATTTGGATATTAGGGAAACAGGACTACTTGAGGGGAGGAGTTTTTTTTATTACTTTCAGAGAAGGTGATTATTAAAGTGATGTTGTGAACACGGTAATTAGCACTACATAATGTGTAAAATGTAGAACATTTCTTAATAAGCTCAGCAACTACCATGTTTTTAAATATGATTCTGCACCACGCACTTAGCGTTGTACGCGCTGTTTGGTTGAAATGTAAATTGTACACTCAGAAGTAGACTATGCTTTAATTTAACATTCTGTTTTATTCTGCTACGAATATTTCCTTATGGACCCATGAAGTAGGGACAATTTTACCTGAAGGCTGGGACAGAGTCAACCTCCGAGACTTTGGAAGCTACGTAACCAGACAGTGGACAATGCTCAAAGAAAATATTAAACTTAAAGTGTTAAACAACTGTCACAAAGTTTTAGAATCACGAATCCTCTAGGTTGATGTACATGTAATTCTGTGTTATTGTATTACGGAGGTGACCTTTTCGAATCTCAAACCACCATGGGAATTCGAGGACAGTACCATCAAATAGGCCACGACCACATCCATTCATGGCTGTCTTCACTTCCTCGATGCTGTGTGAAATCTATAATTGAAAGTGTAACTCGTGGATGTTCAATAATTAGTTATAATATGTGTCTTCTGATGTTGCCATGAAGACTTCACTATTTGTGCTACAATAAATCGTAAAGAAAATAAATGATTTTAATTGGTATATACAACTTTGTGGCAACAATACATTGGAAAAATAGACTGTTCATTTATCCATGGCCTGCTATGTAAATGTACTTCGACGCAGTGAAATAGGTGTGTCACTACATTAAATCGTATTATATAGTCTTTAATTGAACAAATAACAGTGAAATTTTACTTTGTATGTGTTAGAGTTTTCAATTAAAACGTGTTTTAATTTCTACTTCAGATTTCGGCCAATTAGAATCACGCGTCTTCAGTTCTTGTTGTAATATTTCTTTAAAATATGTCACATATTTTTTTAAACTAGAGCAGAGCGCCCCTTTCTGAGCTCCTCGGGGGGTTGGTCAAGTTTTTAAAACGCAACCAACCCCCCTTCGGGCGGGTTGGTTGCGTTTTAAAATCTTGAGTAAGAAACTAAACCAACCCCCCCCCCCCGAATGAGGGTTGAAGGGGGGTTGGTCAAAGTTTAGTGTCTTCCTTTTTGCCACAGGCTGTTTTTCCATGGTAACATGCAATTTATGTTATTAAAAAGTAACGAATAGTCAGCTGTACCTCTTAAGAGATCGTTGGACACGTTTTGTTCTGCACCATTTTCAAACACAACGTAAACTCGTGTTAAAGTTTCTAAGATATGTCGCGCATAGTAAAGAGAACTTTAAAATTGTCATATTAAATTCTTATGAAGGAAGGTAAAGAATACATTTGTTTAGATTCAGCCATTGCGTGACAGATCTATACAGCGTTTTCGTGTTTAACTAACCAGCATAATTAGCACTGTGTGAATAATTTAGTCGATCAATACCGGACTTTTCCATGGGCAATGTGGATGCATATAATATATATAGAAGCAGATACACAAAATTTAGCATACCTTTGTGAATCCTATAATTCTTATCCATCAATGAAATTATAACCTCTATTTAACAATTGTAAATGTGTAGTGTAGTCTGTGTTGCTGTTTCTCTGGATTTGATCCACCTTTTATTATACTAAAAACGAGACTACTCCATTTCGGGACCTGGTTCAAGTCAAGGGATTTTGATTAGCCATTTTCTATCGGACCCAGCAGAATAGGCATTTTTACCTGAAGATGTAATCAGAACCAGCTTGCGAAGAGTAGTGGTTTCGTTTTAAATCCAAAAAATAAATACAGAATGTAACGAACCATTGTTAGAACCCTTTAAAGCTGTATGTAATGTGTACTTAATAGGATCGTCCGGTAGATGAAATTACAAATGGCATGCCCTTCAATTGCAATGAAGTTACAATTACAGAGAGAACTCAAAAATGTGTACTGAAAAAATAAAGAAGCAATTTGTCTCTCTGTTACTGCACACATTAATGGAGAATACAGCACAGGATAACTCGTTCAATATAATTCAAAGTCGTATTGCAATATTGCAATAACAAATTAACTGACATAATTAAACATATGATTTCTAGGCAATCTAATCCCAGTCAAGAATTTCATTCGTTTTTTTATTAACTATTGCTATGTTCTGATGAAACAGTTGAGCACTGATAAATTTGTTTGTCATGTATACTCGTCAGTAGTTGTCAAAGTTTCGGGAAAACATACTACATCCATCTTCAGGGCTAGAATTGTTAATGCTAGGAAGTGGAGATATTTTACTTTGGGGCACTGAGTAAATCAACAAGAAACCACAGTCTTTGGCCGGTCTCAGGAGACAAATAAAAATGTGTGAAGCGTACAGTACGGTGAAATAAATTCAACATGCCTAGTAGATTTCTTTCTTCGTATTTTGATAATGTTACGTCTGGTTTGGGATCGAAAAGATGTGTTGAACGCTATAAAACGTTAAAATAAAACCTGATCTTACGAAGACAGCATTTTGTTTAATGGCTTAATTTTACTTTTGATGGCATTTCATAGTAAAAACTAAATACAAATTACGAAAATTTTCTCAGAGTTTTGTAAAATAATTAATGAAGTTTTTAAAAATGTGAATTACTTTACAAGAATGAATTTAAGATAGAATATTCAGGTATGCCTATACATATGATCCATTTTAGTACAAAATATTACCTGCTGGATCAAGTAGCTCATTTGTTATCTAACAAAATACTAAATACAAGTTCATAGCGGCTTCTCTGTTTTTTTACATTCTACAAAACGATTAACCTAACAAAAGTTTTATATTTTTTTAAAGCTATGTTGGCACTCAAAATTTCAGAACACCACAACCGTACGATGGTGGTCGCTCCCACACGATTGCCAATTTGTTTTATTGATAACCCATATGAAGTTAAAAACTTTAAAGGTGAAATACTTTGTAATGACATAAAGCTCATTACAAGTTTCATAAAAATCCGGCAATTGATTGGAAATTTACTATAGGGGACCGATGCAGAGAACTGACAGTACTATTGCCGTATGTATTTTTCGTTTGAAAAGAGGCTAAAAATACAAAAACTCCACTCAATTGCAGCTTCCCTTGTGACTAGGGAACTAAATGTTGCAAACATACGTCAGCTCTCGTCTCCAGTTTATCAAAGTTGAAACGCACTTTTCCTGAAACGTTGTACACAGCATTATATCACTTTGGACACAAATAGAGTTCATCACTTTGTAACATTACATTAATTGTTAGTTACTGATGTAAGTTCCAATTTCACGACGAGTATCTGCCCATTGTTTCCACTAGAGTTAGCGCCTGTTAAATGTCGTTCTTTTACATCAACAACTTATCTTAATGATCCAATACTATTGTCAATGTTTGTAGATAACATTTGTTTATAATTAATACAGAGTTGTTAAGGAGTACAGATGTATTAATAATTTCATACCTTAATGTGGGTAAGTTCAAAATGTTAACCCATAATAGGGTCTTTGTGTCGGTTCACATGTTTCAGCTTCCAAATCAAATAAATTTTAGATTGAAGATTTCCGTCTTCTGGGTTGTTGCGCTGTGTAGTCTGGTCGATGTTAACCAACGTTTCAGAGGGCATACTGCCTCCGTCATCGCCCTGATGATGGAGGCAGTATGACCTCAGAAACGTTGGTAAACATCGACCAGACTACACAGCGCAACAACTCAGAAGACAGAAATCTTCATACTCACCGCTGTGAGAACCTCAAGTCTTACAAATTTTAGATTAAAAGTGATATTTGAGGATAATTATTTTTGTTATCTGTAAATTACGTACCCTAATTCAAATTATTATTCTCAAATATATATTTATTATTCAAGTCTATACACAAACTTTTAAATTGTAGATGTTAAAATTTAAAATCTAAAATCGCCATTAATATTCTGCGCCATTCATCGTGATCTCGATGTTACAATATTACAACATGTTTCAATGTCATAGCATCATCTTCAGGTTTTTATTTTTAAAACTATTCTATATTTATTAATGCACGCTTTTCATTGATTGTAGATTGTAGATTACTGTTGTGGGTGTTCCTTTAATCTTATTATTATTTTGCATATTATGTTGCGTATTATGTTATTTGTTCATTATTCAAGAGTTTGATGTGCAGTGTGTCCCCGTCTGATCAGGTGAATGTCAGTTCATAGACTTGAATAATAAATATATTTTTGAATTTTGAACACAAACATGACGCATCTAAACTATAAACTTATTATTCTCAAATTAAAATTGGCTGACGTTCGCTAAAAACTTCGACCCTTATTACATAACTGTGGAACAGAACCTAAAAAGATACACGCCAGTATCTCACTGATAAATATATTTATTTAATTTGTTGCTGTGTGGTGTGTATTTAACCAAGTACAAGGAAAGCGAGATCTCTGGGAAGAACTTAAGATACCTATTTTTATAACAGTTTTTGTTTATAGTGAAAAGAGATTCTGGAAGAATAGGGCAGTGT